TGTTGCCAGTCAAGTCCTGATAAAACCAATTCCTAGAAGTTCCTTCTCTCCGAAGTGACACAACTAATCGGGCTTCGCCAGAACACGCAGATACGTGGCTCTGTGTTCCCAGCGTCAGATTTTACAGTCTGGGTCGGAGGCACTAAAGAAAAGGAGCACTGTCATGTCCAAAGTCCTGCTTAGAAAAAGAGCATTCCAAATTTGTCTTAACTAATCCGAGGGATTCTAGAAGTATTAGAGAAAAAGCCTGAAAATGTATTCTTTTCACTTAAGCTAATTTTTCTCATTGGACCGAAAACTCACTCTGGTCTTTTTTGGTTTCCTTAACCTTGACAACACAGTGTCAGCGGGGCAAGAGTTAACTGAAAAAAGCTTTAAACCAAACTATACATGGTGCTACCTTGATGAAATTACCACTTAAATGACTCCGAGCAGGCTCCTGTCAGTGCTGAATCCTACTTCTGTGTTCTTGGTGAAGCCCTGGCCCCGTGGAAGCCAGGGGGAGACTTGCCATCCAATTCCATGGGACCACGAGCGTGTGTGCCCGTTCCTTCCCGGAGCACTTCCTAAACACACCTGGTCCCCCCACGTGCATGGGACTTCTTTTTTAAAACTCTAGTTTTAGGGTGACGCTGGGTTCCCTGACTGAAGTAGTAACCTATGGAGTAAGCAGTAATCCTTTTTGTCGGGACACTTCCACAGAAAGAGATCATACTTGTGTTCTATCCATCCAGCTGTTCTGAAATGTAACGCTATTCTGTTGTGCCTTTATTTTTCCATGTAAAAGCAACTGCTGTAACTTTTGTCTTTTTTTTTTTTTTTTTTACTGTTTTTTCTTATTTTTCTGTCTGAAAAAAAAAAACCACTTTTCATTGCCCAGCTGTTATTTCTGGATGCAGTCTGTGATCCAGGTATTTCAAGAACCAATTACCTCAAACCTCATATTAAACAGTGTTGCTATCTGGATTCTCCTTGATACTACAATATTGTAACATACACAAACAGGAACCTTGCTATATATGGGTGTTTATATATATGTATCATATACATATATACACGTATATATATGATATATATATGTAAATGGAAAGTGATCCCCAAGGACTGAAGGAAAAAAGCAAAACCTTTTTGTTTTCCAACATTGAAACCAAAAGGGCTTCTTGGAAGCTCTATAATGGCATTGTGCTGGATATATATCAAGAAAGTGTTTTCTGAAAAGTGCTTCCTTTGTTAGCCTTTTATTTCAGTATTTTAATGGGGCAGATGATGTGATTAAAACACTATTTCTGCATTTTTTTGGCCAACTTTGAAGCAGAGGCCTCTTAATCTTTCCAGTTGTTATAAAACAAACAAAAAAAAGAACACCTCAGTGTACAACATTCCAGTAAGGTTAGTATTGCAAAACTAAAGTATGTTCTGGGAAGACTTCATAGCTTCTGTTTTTGTGAAAAGGAAGGCATTGGCCATACTTTAGTCAACTCTTCCACTGTTTTGAGGAACTGAAGTTTAACCAGTAACCATCCTAGTCAATTAAAATCCTAAATCGATAGTCACCGGCATCTCTGCATTGCCACCCCTGTTAAAAACAAAACAGCTAGAAAAAACGTAAAAAACAACCCAAACCTAAAATCCAACCATGAGAGAGGAGAAGGAGGTTGGAGCATTTCATAGCTCCTGAAGGTCGACTTGGCACCAGAGTAAAACACGTGTTGGCAAGACCTAGAACTTGTTTAGCCCTTTCCTTTTTCCAACTACCTTCTCACAAGAACCTTCTCGTAAAAGCAGACCTTCAACCACAGTGACTTCTCCTTAATGGTACTTTGCTGAAGAGAATTCTGTTCGGGATATATTTTCTGGGGAAAAACAAAAAGTCAGAGCATTCTTCTCATGAACATTTTACTGTATGTGTTCCCCTCCCAAATGTCTGTTTTTAAAAAATGTATCCATATAGCTGATGCGACATTACAGTCTGTATTTTATTTGGACAAAATAGTAGGTTTCCAATCCAAATACTAATGAATTTATTATTACTAGTAATCCATTTAATTAATTACTAGTAATTATATTACTAAAGGAAGAAAAGGAGATGTTTCTCTTTCCCCATTTTTTCCTCGACTGTCTAATGTTTCTATGGCTATTGATGGTTTATGATTATCTTTGGTAAATCATTTACAAAAGTACTAAAATCTCCCAGAAGGAGGCATTTTGCAATGCTGACGGCCTTCTAATGGAATAACTATGATGCAAAAGTCGATCTGTTGGTGGATGAGAGTTGAAGGAGGTGGTTACTGCAAACTAAGTAACATTCTTGACCTCAATTCTATGCCATAAGTCCGCACAATGCCATTGTCAATCTGCTCAAACTATCTGCTTATGAATTCTGCATGATCCTCATGATAGAGTTGAAAGCCTGATCTTTCACCTGTTAATATTTTCACATTCGTCCTTAAGTTTGACAAATTTTATAATGTAAAGTTGACCTAAGTACAGTTTGATGTCAATTCTTGTGGAAAGAGCTTTCTGCATGTAACATTAGACACATACAGTTAAACAACACAGCATAGTACAAAACTCACAAGAAAATGTTTTGGCACCAGCAGAAAGAAATCTCACCCTAACCATTTGTCATTTTAAACCATCTTATTGTAAGTTTTACCAGCTACTTCTAAATTTGTGCTTTATTTAAAGAAATAAAATAAAAATCCTAAGACTTGTCTAGCGTAGTGAAATATGTGTATATCAGTTTTAGGATAAATAGCTAAGTCTTATTACGCTGTGTTACTTAACTTGTATATATAGAGTATACATAAGAGTTTGCAGTAACCTGTTTCTCCAGGATTTCCAGTTTGAATGGGTTTAAACTCAAACTATGAGATTAAGTAAATGATTTAGAAGATTGCAGAATAAACTGAGTGTAAATTACAGGAAGCTCTATCAGATGGTGAAATAATTTTTAAAGAGTCTTTTGGTCCTTGGCTCAAATTCAATAAGTACTGTTTGTATACCAAGATATGTGAAATGTAAATGTTGTAGGTTATATTTCACTCTTGTAGCTATAAAAATGTAGAACAGAGATAGCTTGTACTACTGAGTTAACAAAAGTTATACTAAAGTATCCTGTTAAAGAAAAAAGTATACAGAGAGTTAAGCTCGTTGCTGTAACCCCTTTTGGATTGAAGTGTGCTGATTTTTTATATATGTATATTATATATATATTCTGCAAAAGTATATATATATAAAATGTATATATAAAATGGCCTAATGCAGACATCCATTGTATTGCAGTTATGAAATGAAGACATTTTGACAAGAACATTGTATCATAGTTCATGAATTTGCAGTGGATCTTTGTTCCTTTTTACTGTGGTATTTTAGAAATGAGTCTCAAGTTTGAAATTAGATCTGCCAAGTTGGAGTTTTGCTGCTTCAGCTTTGCACTGGGTGTCTGAATAAACCAGTATGAATGTAGTATTTGCCCTGTGTGAAGCAGCTACACCCCAACAAATAGGAGGAAAAAAACTAGAAAGAACTATTTCAAGTTTATCTTTTTGTATATGAAAATAAACAGTAAATTACAAATAACTGCTTCTCTTGTTGGTGCGACGTTAAAAATAATTGGTGTTTTATTGTCTTTGGCATCTAGCTGGAGTATTTCCTTTTTTACAGAAGAATGTTTTGCTGTTTTAGTGGTATCACTGCTATCCAAAAGCCCTAACGACGTCCCTGCAGAGGCATCTCTGAAGCCTGTACTTCTACATATCATTTGCTGACTAACTCCTCTAAAGGCAAGAGGGAATTAGCTAGAATCGCTGCATCCTTTTAAGGGTGTTGCGAAGTTAACTTTGTTGTTAGCAAACACAGAGCGTGCTCAAGTGCCGTGGGGCCTGTTCCCAGTCAGGGAAACAGCTTCAGCGTGAGGTACCTGCCGTCGGGGCAAACATCGGACCTGGGACTGAGAGGCAGCTTCCGTACACCATGGGTTTGGGGTATTTCACCCCCAATCCTCCGCTTCAGCTGAGTGCCAAAACAAGAATCAGTTGAGGTGGGGAGGCTTGACCTGGGAAAGGATTACAAAAATAAATAAATAAAAAAGCTTGGGCTCCTTGAACTCGTTAGCAGCGCAGTGGGCTCTGTGATCCCCACGACATGGGGGAAGAAGATGCCCTCAGCCAGCACCCGAAGCGTGGGCAAGCTGCCTGAAGTGATGGTGTGGCAACGAAGCCTTCACGCTTTGGTGTTTTCCGTTGCTAAACTGGTCCTTTTTTTTTTTTTTCAGCAAAAACACCTCTCGCTTGCTTCTGGGCTGGAAATTTCACTGAATTTTTAGAGTTGAAAGGGACCATAGAGACCATCTAGTCCAACTCCCCTGCTGAAGCAGGATTGCCTAGAGCTTGTCAGAGCGTGTTACTCAGGACTGCATCCAGGCGGGTCTTGAAAATCTCCAAAGAAGGGGACTCCACAACCTCCCTGGGCAGCCTGTTCCAGGGCTCTGTCACCCTTCTGTGAAGAAGTTTTTTCTCATATTTGAGTGGAACCTCTTATGTTCCAACTTGTGCCCGTTGCCCCTCGTCCTCTCACTGGGAACCACTGAAAAGAGTCTGGCTCCCTCAGATGCTTACAGTGGACTCACAGGAGGCCCATATGAACATGAACGGGCACCTGTGAGGCAAAAATAGTAATAACCAGGCGGGTGGTTTTCCTTACAAAGAGCCTGATGTCAAATGACCAAATGGAGACAGAACCCAACTCCTCACCAGCCTTTGGGGCTAGAACCCAGGGCCACCCCTTTCCGGGCGGTCCCTGTAGTCCCCCTGAGGCCACAAGCCCCACGTCTTGGCTCTCCCTTTACCACAGCGCTCGGGTAAATCCCGCTCCGATCCTTCCCGGCGTGTGGGTTCCCCGGGGAAACGACAACCGGGGCCGCCGCCGCGCTGAGGCGATGCCGCCATGGCTGCCCGGCGCCGCCGCGG